CAACAGTGTGTGGGATGCTAGAAATTCAGCGGTAATTGCCACAGTCCCTTCTCTAAAAGAGCATACGGTCCTGTAGGAGATACAGATAAATAAATGAGTTTACAACGTGAGCCCAAGAGGGCACATTGGTAGGATGAGGATATGCAGAAGTGGCACCAAACAGATTCGGGTGGAGGCTGGTCTCTAAGTTCTTTCCAGAGAAGGGAGCACTTGAGGGTGACTAGGGTGAGTTAGGTCTGTATGCAGAGAGCTCTTCTTTGGGTATATAAATTGAGGGAGAGGTGGAGTTCATCTCTAGTTTCTGGCTTGAGCAACTAGTTGTTGCCCATGGAGACCTGGCAGAAGAGAGGCATTTGCTCAGTTCTTAATCTGCTGAAGGTCATTTGGTATGACTGAGCAGGAGAGAGAGAGAGGGCGAGGATGTGCACCTTTGTGCGCACATCAGTGCCTTAGTAAAAACTGTTTGGGAGAAGAATGTAGAGGCTAAATTATTCAGGGTCTTAACTAGTAATAATAACAACTTGCACTTAACACTTTTTCTATGCCAGACACTGTTGTAATTTTAATATAACACATTGATTCCTCATTTCAAACCTAAGAAACCTAAGAAGAAGTTATACCATCATGATCTCCATTTCATATACAAGGAAAATGACAGACACAGAGGCTGACTCCTCTAAGTTCCCAGATCTAGTGAGTAATACAGCTGAGACTTGAGCTCCAGCCAATCTGGCATGAAAAGTGTGGTCCATGAACCAGTATTATCAGCATCACCTGGGCGCTTGTTAGAAATGCAAAAACTCAGGCACTAACCCAGACCTACACAACCAGAATCTACATTTTAACAAAGACCCAGAGGTGGTTCCTGAGCACTTTAAAGTTTGGGGACATCTGCTATGACCCACTAAACACTACTGCTTCTCTTTACTTTGGAAAGGAATCTGGACATTATCCTAAGGCCAGTGGAAAGTCAGGAAAAGGTTTGAAGTAAGAGATTGACAAAATCAAATCTGGTTTTAGACCAGTAGTTTCAGTGTGGAGAATGCAGCAGAAGCGGGCAATTCTGGAGGCACGGAGACCCATGAAAGGGCCACTGTTCACCAAGTAAAAGAAGATGGCAGTGACAAAGGAGAGAAGCTGGTGAATGTATGAGGTAGCATGGACAGAATTTGGAGATTCTTTGTGTATACAAGTTGAGGGAGAGGTGGAGTTAGTTCACCTCCAGTTTCTGGCTTGTATCTTGATGTCATTTTCTGTATGAGAACACTTGGGGGAAGTAGGGTGGAAAGTAGGAGAGGGGAATGATGAATTTACTTTTAGATTAAAATGAGATTTGAGAGGACTGTGGGAAAGCCAAGTAGAGCTGTTCAGCCAGGTCCAAAGAGAGAGGGCAGGGAAACCACATACATTACTTGAACATTTTGAAATTCTGTGTCAAAAAGTTTACCTGGCTTGCCCTTCAGGCCCCTTCCCTTCCCGCATTGTATTCACTGGGGTCCAAGCCTGCTCTGGGCAGTCCTGTATTCAGCAGATAATTGGGCATACAGGTTTGTAGCTCAGAAAAGATATCTTAGCTGGACATAAAGATTTTGGACTCAGTCATGTAGAATAGATTGTAATTGAAGCAGTGACATTTAGCTCAGAAAGAGAAAGGGAATCTAGGACGTGTAGGGAAGAGGAAGGGGAATCTGTGAAACAGATTGAGAATAGTGGTCGTAGAGGCGGGAGGAAAACCAGGAGTTGGATACCATGGAATCCCTGTGTAAAGAGTGTTTCCAGATGGAGAAAGTGGAGAATAAGGTAAAATGCTTCTGAGATACTAAGACGATAATGAGAAATGTCTGCTGGATTTAGCAATACACTAGTGATCAGTCACCTCAGTGAGAGGCAGGGGAAACTGATAAGGACCAAAGCCAGACTGCAGTTGATTGAGAAGTGGGAGCTAAGAAAGTGGAGACTCTTCACAAGGTGTAGACAATACTTTCACGAGATTGAGCTATGAAGCCGAAGAGTGAGGTAAGTGGAGGAGCTCAGTAATGAAGGGAAGCTTTTCAAGATGGGGAATTTGAACATGTTTAAATGTTGATAGGAGGAGCCAATAAAGAAGGAAAGAATGAAGATTGTGATCCCTGAAGCAGAGGGTATGAGATAACGGGCACTAGTTTAGATCGTCCCTTTCATGTTCCAATCTACCAATAGGCCGGTATGGGGATTGGGGAGAATGGCCAGAGAAACAGGAAGGTCCCACTGCAGTCACCTCTTCCATATTCTGGGGTCTCTAGAGGCTTAATCCTATCACCCTTCCATTCTAAGCCTTACTCTCCACGAAAGGAACTGTTCTGATACTTGAACCTTCTACTTTTATTTCAGTGGACACATTGCCCAGAACAAGTATGGCTACGAATTAACTATGTATCTGCTTTGAAAATTAACCCTTAAATGTCATCTTCAGCTAAAATCCTTACCTTAACCTTACCTGTCCTCAGGTGAGGACAGTTGAGAGAGACAGTTTAGACATACTTCCACCGTAAGCCTTTTAAAGATTTGGTAAACCCACCAACCCCAGGGTTTGTCTGGAGCTGAAGTCTGTGATTTCATGGAGGATAGTGGTTCATAATCAGGACCCCTCAAGAATACTCAAGGACAGGTTTCAAGAGTCTATCAACTCCAGAAATGTCAAGGAAAAATCCATTTACAATGGGCTTTTTTTTTTTTTTTTTTAATGGGAAGAGGGTCCATTGATTCTATCAGATTCTTAAGGGAATCTGTGATCCCAAAGTGGTCTAACGTGGAGATAGATAATGCTCAAGCTGATCATTTTGGAGGGACTCAAGGCGTTATGGCAGGAAGGAGTCTTCTACCTCCTCCTTCCCCTCCTTTTCACAGCTCCTTCCAGGGTACCATAAGGTAACCAAGAAAAATGATGACAATGAGAGAGGAAAAAGGTAATTACAAGAACATGGAAATGTATGGTTGTTTAGTTGGCATCTGATTCAGAACTTTCCATGTGAACCCAAGTATTTGGTTTTCAATTCTAAAGACATCATGTTTCCTAGATTGAAAATGTGAAAAAACAAATAAAAGCTTCTCCAACATGTTCTAGATAAAATTTTATTTTCAATATTATAGTAGAAAGTTACCAGGCTTGCCTAAGGAACCCAGATTAATCCAGCTTTACTCAGAATGTTGTTGGCAAGTATAGTAAAAATAAGAGGTAGACTTGTCCCTGAGGTGATGTTACATTAAAGCACAAATCTGCTGCTCTTGTTTAGGTAGAACAGCCCCAGGATTGGCAACTAATGATAACACATGGGAGTAAATAGAACAAGTATCGAAAACAGACATCAGAGTTTACCTTCCCCACCAAGCAATTTGGATTATGGCTTTAGGCACATATCATAAATATGTTAAGAAATACCTTGTGTGATACATATATTTGCAATATTTGTGTTAAATTTTAATCCATATACGTTACTAATAAACATGCTGGAATTTATACACGATAGTATTGTGAATGTGAAATGAGGGCTAAAATGGCTTGAGGAATTTCTTACATTTTTTTAATAAGAATTACACATTTTATTAATGATTGTTGTTAGTTCCTACATTTGCAAAACAAAAATTGACAAACTGAGGAGTTACATTTGGTTTTCGAATGCATGACAGACACCAAAAAGGGTCTGATTAAAATAGTGAGGGAAAAAGCATAAACACATATGGGAAGCATACTTTTGCTTATGTAACGCTATCCCAGTTTCAAGAAGCAATGCTTTAGATTCATTCAGTGTATTACATATCTGTGTGGGTCAGAAACACAGACATTTTAATTCAATCTTAGAAAGCCTAAGATTAGGAATTGTCTTTATGCCTGCTTATGAAAAATAGGCAGATTTGTTTTGTTTTTTTTTAATAGGAATCTCACTGACTCACTTAAAATCTGTAAATAACTTTAAATTGTGCTCTGGATATGTAAATCCAGCCATAAAATATCCTTAGTGATAAAGTCAGTCATCCAAATAAATTAAGCCAAATAAAACTCCAGTATGGAGTCATTCCTTTTTTATGAATACAATGAAGTTATATCTCCAATTATAAAGACAATTTTCAGAACTAAGGAGGCAACTCAAAAGTTATCTGGCTACAATGTTGCCTTAATACACATGGCATGGAAATGAGAAATCTGAAAAGCTCAGCATATAAAATTTGATAACTGTTGGCTCAAATGTTTAAAAAGTTTCTAAGAAACTTCTAGATATATACTTACTTGCTAAGTAAAAACAAATCACTACAAAGTTTCTTTTAAGCAGTCACTAGAAAGTTTATAAGAATCTCTTGTACTTAAAAAAAAAATTAAAGAAGCCAATAAAAACCACATTAAAAACACAAAACATTAAAGAAAACAAAACTTACTTCTTCTTAAAGCTGCTTCTTCCAGGGATTTAAACAATATGAAAGGAGAATATATGATGATTTACTTTCCCCTCCAACACATTCATATGTCAACTCCAAGAGGAACAGAATGGGCCACCAAAACTATCTGAGGGTCCCTCCCAGTTGCAGCTTTTTAAACTTTGTGGAAGACAACAGGAGGGTGTGTGAGTTTCCTCCAAGTCTTGTGACATGTACATCGCTGACTCCTACTGGGCTGAAAAAGCACTCCTTGTCAATTTTTACTTAAAATTATGAGTAACAAATTCTCTGCAGGACATCTTTAAAGGGAAATCCTGCCAGAATTAGTATCTGAAATGTCTGGATAATCTCCAGAAAGTTTAAAATATAAAGTGCACATACAGACACATACACTCAGGAAATTCCCACTGCCTAGGCTAAATTGAGGGCATATTTAAATGAAAAAAATTTCTATAAAGGATGATGTATTTCCTGTTTTTTGTTTTGTTATTTCAGTGACTATCAGAACCCTTCTTATAGGTTAGAAATGGCTGAACTATAGAGCTTTTCTTTTGAAATATCTGGAAAGAGATGTGGCCCCATGTTCTCACCTGTAGCGTTTTTGGTAGCTTGAGAGATGAACAGTGGTTTGTGGCTTCTATCATTGCCTTCCTGGGAAATTTGCTAACTTTGAGCCTTGGATTTGACTAGGATAACTCATAGTAGTTGCCTGCTTCCTGCACCAGTACCGTGGACCTGGCATTCCCTGCTGTTGCCTATTTCCCTATGAGCTGGCAACAATTGTTATGTCACGTCCACAGCTGTATGACTTCATTTAAGCACAGACTCAGATAGTCTTTTGAAATCTTAAGTCAGAACTTGAAAAGTGGCTAGATATTTCATGAGTTGGATCTAAAGAAATGTTTGAATATTGAACTAATCCACAACAGGAATTCTCAGTGGGTCAAACTGATCCATAAAGCAAGTGACATTTGCTCTTAAACTCTCCATCTGAGGCCATTTCTTCAGTTTGTAAAGGTGGGTGAGGGAGGAAATGTTCCGCCTTAACTCCATTTATGCTCAGACCAAACTTGAACTGTCCTTGTTCTAAGTGCCAAAGGAATGATATGTTAATATTTTCTGAGGACAAACTCAGTTACATACAATCAAAAAACTTGAACTAGGGAAATATAAAGCCAATCAACTCTGTGCGTTGTTATTCACCCGACTTTGATGAAGATATGATGAAAATGAAAACATAGTGATTAGCAGCAAATTGTTCTTCTGTCCTTTCACTGAATCAATCTATTATAAAACAGTCAATCTAACATAAAATATTATTAGTAATAGATTTTAATCCTCATGACACCATGGCTAGACAGGCATTATTTTTCTCCTTTTATAGGTGAGGAAGTAGAGTCGAGGAGGTATAAAATCGCCTATGTCCCCATCTAGCTATGGAACTATTACCCTCTTTATTAGACCTGTGCTTCCTGAGAGGGTAATCTACATTCACTTATCCAACCTATGACCTCCTGCTCCCTTCTCAAACTACTCCACCAAAGAAAAGCTTCATTAAGCTCAATAAAGATCTTAACACCCCAAAGAATAGTCTTTAATCTTACCTGAAATTTCTCATCTCTGCCATGTCCATTTCTTTTTGAAATTCTCTTCCCTTGGTTTCACTAAGTCACACTCTCCTGATTTTCTCCTTGGGCTTAGCATCGTCAGCCTCCTCTCCCTTTATTCACCTCACCCTTCCCTAGAGCTTCATCCTCAGTTCAGAATGCTTCTCTCTACGCTCTCCGTGGGGTTCCTTATGAAAAAATTAATGATATGACTCCTAAACCTGTATACTCAACTGGTATCACTCTGAGGTGCCAGACCTGTATCCTGTTGTCTACTAGCTGTCTTTGTCTAGAGGTCCCCAGGCATCTCAAACTCAGCAGCCCCCAAAACACCATCTCCTCCCGACTCCCCACTGTACAGAGAGTCCACTGTATTTCCTGTCTCAGGGCATGGCACAATCATCCAACCCATCATACCTTGGACTCCTCACTTTTCTCATTTATTCTCCACTATCCCCATCATTCATCCCCAACCCCAACTTCTGTTGGTTTTACTTTGTTAAATATCTCTCAAATTTGTCATTATCCCTGCATTTCTGGTCCTCACATTTCTCACTTGGATTACTGTCATCAGTCATAAAACAACTGACATCTGTCTCAGTCTGGTCCCCTTCTATCATTTCTTTATATCACTATAAAATGATATTTATTTAAAGATATCAGTTTATTGAATTATACATGCTTCTTGCAGAAAGTCTGAAATAAGAATGAAAAAAATAGTTTAAAATGACTTGCAATCCAAGAGACAGAACTCAAAACGTCACCCAGATATTATGCATACATATAGCTATACAAGGGAATGTTTATGTAAATGTTTTCATGCAAATGTTTACACAGCTATAGTTAAATATATTTAATTAGAAAACCAAGATCACATTGCATATGGTATATCTATTATACTTAATATACTGTGAATGATTTTCCAAATCAGTTAAATATTTTTAAAGTGGCTGTGAATAATGGCTGCAATATAATGAAATATGTGATGGAATAGTGCTTCCTCTTTTCTCTCTCTCTCTCTAACTCTGATCTGTTTTCTTCAACACCAAAACTTAGCCTGAGCATTTATAAGGTATGAATCACAGGAGTTTGACTTCAGTGGGAAAGAGGGAAGGAGAGAAATATAGAACACTCACTTTAAGTTCATTTACCTTTACTAGACACTATTTAAACAACTATATATTCTGTACTATGTTTCATGCCTTCAAGGAATTATCTAACCTGTAAGTCTATATAATAAAGTTTAAGGCTGCATTTTAGGTGAGTAAAGACAAGTTTAGTAGGAAAACAGTTTGATAAAGTGCTTTTTTTCTTCTTTACATTGAATAACAAGAAACACAAGAGAAAACCTGTGGGAATTTTAGCTTGACTAGTTTAGTTTTAGCTTGACTAGTCAGAGAAAGGGTTTTTCTTCAGGAGACTAGCATGTGAATAAACAAAAATATTTCAGAGCCAAGAAGACTGCCTCCTTTCCTTGAAAGACACATTGTCTATGTTCCTCTTCTATCAGAGGATGGGAAAAATATTTGTACACATTTTTAAGTCCACATTTTACTTCTCAGAAGGGGAGACATTGATTTCACAAATAATGTATACTTCTTTTTTTCTCTCTGCAGGGATGGAGAGCTATATGTAGTTGCAAAAAAAATATATTAATATATTTTGCTTATTTTTATCATGATATACAATCAAAATGCATTTTGTCTTTTTTTTTTAGTATATGCATTTTTAAAAAACAATTTTATTGGAGTATAATTGCTTTACAGTGTTGTGTTACTTTCTGCTGTGTAACAAAGTGAATCAGCTATATGTATACATACATCCCCATATCCCCTCCCTCGTGTCTTCCTCCCACCCTCCCTAACCCACGCCTCTAGGTGGTCACAAAGCACTGAGCTGATCTCCCTGGGCTATGCAGCTGCTTCCCACTAGCTATCTGTTTTACATTTGGTAGTGTATATATGTCAGTGCCACTCTCTCACTTCGTCCCAGCTTACCCTTCCCCCTCCCCATGTTCTCAAGTCCATTCTCTATCTACATCTGTGTCTTTATTCCTGTCCTGCCCCTAGGTTCTTCAGAACCTTTTTTTTTTTTTAATTCCATATATATGTGTTAGCATATGGTATTTGGTTCTCTTTTTCTGACTTACTTCACTCTGTATGACAGACTCTAGGTCCATCCACCTCACTACAAAATAACTCAATTTCGTTTCTTTTTATGGCTGAGTAATATTCCATTGTATATATGTGCCACATCTTTATCCATTCATCTGTTGATGGACATTTAGGTTGGTTCTATGTCCTGACTATTGTAAATAGTGCTGCAGTGAACACTGTGGTACAT